TTCCGGCTGAGATTACTGAGCTCTAAGTGGGGCCACATAAAACAACTATTGCTTGTGACAATTTCCATCCATACTCTGTTACAGTAAGAGATGCAAGACAAGCTAGCAGTGGACCAACTAGTGATTGAAGACAGTAGTGCAAGCAGAGGGAAAGGAAAACTTCTAAATAGAGGCGGTTCAAGGTCACCTGAGTTTCCAGCGTGGACATTCTGTGCCTGCCCTTGACAAAGCAAGTAATATGTTTATAGCAGGGCTGTCCAACTAGAAGCCTACAGGCCCCATCAGCTGCCTCTCCCAGTGTCCTAAAGAGAAGGGAAATTGAGTGGGGAATGGTCCATGTGCTATCTAATCTGCCTGTGCAGTGCAGGGGAAGGAAGGGCTATACGCTGCCCATGCAGTCTGTCCAGCAGCATACGGAGGGGATCTAGGGGCCTGTCCCCATAGCTTATGGCCAGACCTGACCACAGTGAAATTGGACAGCCCTGGTTTACAGCATTATTATTCTGTTTACTATTCTATCTTATTGCTTAATAAACAACATCTACAAATTATAACCTGAGGAAAATGCAAAACTCTGGATTAGGGTGTAGTTATGGTCAGAAAAATGACAACAGCATCTTCTCCCACAACAAATCAACTCCATGTGAGAGTCAGTAACATGATTCAGCTCAACTGAATGATAAAAATGAATTATGACCTTTCCCACTGCCTCAGCTATGCAGAGTCCACAGAAGAGTGAGCTGCAATCCAGAGAGCCTGTATGCTGCATACAGGACTGTTAGCTATTTTCTGATGGCAGAATCCTTAAGCAAACCAGAAAGACTCCAAATGGACTTTTACATCCCAATGTCATTTTGTAAGACTGGATGTTAGGATAAAAATAACATCTTTTTTTATTTTTAAATTGGAGAAATATGATCAAGTCACTGAGAGAAAAACAACATAAAAGAGTAAGCAGAACTGCATAGGAAGGCTAAAATAAATGGATATTCAGCCATAACACTCCTCCCTCCATCATCCAACTGTGCTCAAAAGACACATCCCTGCTTAAGAGTATGTAATGTGAGATAACCCACTGATGGTAGTCCCTTGCAGGGTCAAAAGCTAATATAGGAAGTTAGGGACAAAGGGTCAACTTTAACTACAAAATTCAATAAATCATGCAAGAAAGTCCCTAACTACTTCCTGACAAGTCATTATAGCTCATCGGCTATATTATTGCTTCAACCCACATAAGTAACTTCTCATTTAACGGTAAAAGGATTTCCACTACCCATTTAAGTCAGTAAATGGCAGAAATATTTAACAAATTACTGTACTTCTATACATTTTCCAAAAAAATGATATTATTTATTCCACTGATATGGGTGTTCCCTTTTTTTTTTTTTTCTTCTTTTGAGGCTTTTATTTGGTGTGGCATTGAATGAGTTATGTAAATACAATACACTAGTAGCAAAAAAGGTGTCACGGTTGTTTATGTTACGGAAGCACCTTCATTTAGGTTATGTATATGTTTATTCACAGGTTTATCTTAGCTTTAATAATGCTAATCATGTAAAGAGCTACCTGAGCTTTGTTTAATGAGAATTCTTTCAAGGATACCCCAACCTCAGTAACGTGCTTAATTCTCTTTCTACTTTCATCAGTAATATATATAGGATTAGGTCCATAATAAGGGACGCAATAATGGCATAATTATCATTGTGTAGAAAAGGAACAGAATAGAGAGGGTTTCTTCCTCCTTCATATGCCCTCACCACTGTGTGCAACTCCTGGGATTCCTGGATGGTGATGCTGGGGGAAAGTGCTCAGTCTTGGCGAAGAATCCTGGGGAGATGTAGGGCTGAACAAAGGCTTTTCAGGCTTCTTCATTGTAGGAGAAGACATATCTGCAATGGAAATACAACACAGCAGTCACATTGACCAATGGGAAGCATACACATGATACTTTGTAAAATGTAAAATGTTTATGGTTATGCTCCTTACTTAAATGCCTGTTCAGTTAACAACACTTCTAAGCACCTATACACATGACGGACCTCTGCTTTGATGCGTTCTAATTAATCGAGTCTTCTGTGAGTCTGCTAGAGAGTGCTAACTGGCGTGCTCCAGCAGCCTCCACATCACGTGTATACAGCATCCCCACATTTCAAAATGGTGGTGCAGGCACTTTAATTAAAGCTCACTGAACAAGCTTTAGTTAATGTACCCCTGCTGCCATTTTGAAGCGCAGGACACTGAATACACATGACGCTGCAGGTACTTTAATTAGAGCGACTCTCAGAGCGGCTCTAATTAAAGCGCCTCCCCACTCCATCGCAGAGCATGTGTATAGATGCCCACTGTGACCAGTAAACTAATTCAACATTATTGATTTTCAACACGGGCATAAATAAACAGTCATCGTTGTTTGGCCTACAAAACAGAACCTGCATTCCCTTCATAGCAATCAAGCATGTCAGTGAAGAAATCCAAGTCCTTTCAAGTTCCCTAGATGCTATTCAGTACCAGTCAGAATCACCATATTCACTTCTCCAACAGCATTGTATTCTTTACTATATTTTTTATTGGGACAATGTAAATATACAATGCATTTAAAGCATGTGTTATTTTTAATATGGAAATCCATGTTTTACCTTTTCTAAATGTGTAGTGACACAGTATAACCTTCCCAAGAATGCAAGATACACACTATTCTTGTACAAGTAGGACTTTCTCACTTCTTTCCCGCTGACACATCAACAAAAACATCTGTCAATGGAGATCATGGTAGTTGTGGCAAATAAACAGCTGCTATTTGGAAGGCTTCTTTATTTTTTACAAATATATTGTAAACATAATGAATTTTATCTGAAGCTTTAATTAACCTAAAGTCCACGACTGCACTTCAAAAATTGAAATTAAATCCTTTCCACTTTTTAATTATTTATAACAAACATTCAGAGGCTACACATGGCATGGTATTTGGAGTCAATCTGAAGTCAACAGGAATAACTCATATTTACTACAGGTAAGCTCATTTCTTAAGTACTTTGCTGGATCAGGGCCATGCTGCATTTGGAGCATGCTACTGTTGTCTTTAATGTGCACTTGTCACCTTATCACCAGGCTACTGCATTCTGCTCTGTTTAAATTGTGTCTTAAATCCTATTAAAAGTTGAAGATGGGTAAAATGGAGCCTTGTGAACATATTCAGTCAATGCTTATTCATCTGGCAGTTGTTTAAGGTGTTACTTAGTGACTTAGAAAACTTAGGACCTGAGGCCCCTGGCAGACACGCAGTTAAAGGCATGATGCAATCTGATGTGCAATCACCACAATAGCTCCTCCTGCCATGCCACAGAGACCAGGGGCCTGAGCTACTGATTAGATTCTGCCATTCTGCACCAATAGAGATACACTGAACAACTCTTCATGAGGCCCCAATTTTAAGAGTCCAGAATCTGGTGACCTTCATGGCACCCTGCAATGCTCCTCTTGGCAAGAGCGTCCCTAGAAAGAGAGGAATTTGTTTTATTTCCATGCTGTACAGTTTTTAGTGATTACTGTAAATTGGGAGAGTTGATTACATTGAACTACTGTAATTTCAAGTTATTCTGGATTGCACCTGAACACTGATGTAAGTGCATCTGCTCACTGTAGAAATTTAAATGAATAAATAAACAAACGGCTTCTTGACAGTAAAGATATGTTTATTTTTTCTGCTTGTACCACCATTTAACAAGGGCAAGATTTCCACGTGGTTATGGTCAAATTATTACATGCATCTGCTAATCTACCAACATTCTAAAAATATATATATTTCTAGTGCTCTCAGTGAGTCTGGAGCAGATATACTACAATTTCAGAAATGACAGATTATTTTGTGATGAAACAACAGCTTTAGCACCTTCATTTAAAACCCTTGTTTCATTTAAGAACAAGGAATGTTTCATTATTGCACTAGAGGGTTAAGATTTTATAAGTCACTGGACAAAAACAAATATTTGCTTTTCTGCTACATGTCTACTACTAGTGAGTAGTCTGTTACTGCAAAAACATTCCAAAGTTATTGTCCAAAAAAACAGACAGATTCATTAATGGCTCATAATCACAGCCTTTGACTAACACGCTGTGTCCATCACTGGCTGCCAAAAATTTATCAGTGACTGAGCACCTTGATAAATACTCTCAGAATACTTTCTGAGAGAGAATTATTTCATTATATCATATACATAAATATATTAAAAAGGAAAGACTAACTAAAGCCTGAATGAACTGGATGTGGAGAATCTTTTGCTTGTCTTTCACTGATATGTTCAACAAAAGAACTCCTGAAAGAATGAACTGTCTACTGCTTAGACATTCTGAATATGTCTGTAGCTCTAATTTCTAAAATGCAACAGAAGCTAATGTGACTGTTACTTCACAAAACAAGAAAAACTTGGGCTATTTAAACCAAAAATATTTTGGCTGCTTGAAAGAAGAATGCTTTATGAAGTGCAATGTAATCAGGGTTTCCATTTACCCCCTGGCCTAATCCCTAGTTTGAAATGAATTTATAGAAAAAGAGGCCAGTTGTTATTACAATCCTAGCATTTTGCCTTTAAAACTGTGCCACTTTTCCTGTTTCTACTTTTGGGCAAAAATAAATGTAGTCAATACCTAAGAATAGCATAAATTACAAAGCAACATGGAATACAACCAGCCATATTACTATGAGAGATGATGGCCTTTAAGTTGAGATGAATTCCTCTGGTAGTCAATAATACAAAATGTTTGAAAGCAACTATGAAACTATGGAAGTTTCACTGCCAGATGAACCCTCATCACCTGCTAAAACCCATATTAGGTCTTTTATTGCAACAAAGCGTGCTACATCATACACCACAGTGAAGTACTTCTGGAGGATACTATGCACAGCATACCTGACTGCTGGGCCTGAATGGGTGAAATACATGTAGCACTTCCTTTGTTAAAACAATGTACTTAGCATTGTGAAGTAATTCAGATGGCCATTTCCACCCCTTGTTCTCCTCTTGTATGCGCTGACATCATAATGGAGCATTCAAGTTCTATTCACAGTGGAATAACAGATGCAGTCTACAGGGGAGCTAGAACAAAAACTGTCTGTATAGGTTACAAAAAGAAACTGCAGTGGTCTCCTTCTTGACCAGGCTTGTAAGTCGGGTAAGAAAGCAAGAGCTATATTTTCTTCAGAAAATTATCAGCTATGGAAAAAAAATAATTATTAAAATTTAGGGGAGGCTGAATTTTTTGTCCTTTTATTAATAAAAATATGTATGGCCTATAAATACAGCACAATTAATTAAAATAATCTTAAAAGTTCATAACATTTTTACTGGTACCTTCAGCACTTACAAAATAAAAATGACTGATTTAGTTTTGCTTTAAATCATTTTTATAGGTCACCCCACATATATATTTTATTTCTTGCAACCTAGATATACAAAGGTAATGAGATAACAAGTGACTGAGAGAACATAAAAAGCAGGTATAGTTGTATCATAGCTTTCCATGAAAAAATACCTACCATCTAAGAAAAAAATGAGCGCCAAAATCAGCAATTTAGATCAGAACATATTTCTTTGTCCTCCCTAGAATTTTCTTAAGGCTTTAGCAAAACATAAATGTGTTTTTTAAAAATTCACAGGTGTGTTCCATATTACTCTTATGCAATATCCTTGTGTTATTATGGAGATATAGTACATACATGCCCAAATATTCTTGCATAATGTACTTCTTTTATTGTAGAGATATTTACAGTATATACATGCCCAAACTACTGCATGTTATAAATTCTGAAGTGTCACATCAAAGAGATAAAGGCTATGAAAATAAAAAGTGTTAGATCAAGTCATCTCCCAACAAGGTAATTCCATCTACAAAGGCAGGCAGAAAAAAGCCACTGTGAAGCATAGCGTATGTAGCCTGCTCATTGGCAGCTTGCACAAATGGTGCTCCAGATGTATATCTGTTCAAGACAGCCCAAGGCAACAATTTTGATCAATTCTAATGTGATAAAATGCTGCAGGGAAAGTGTGGAGAAACGTGTTTACGTCAGCCTTTAATTAAACTGTTGTTCGCGTCCAAAGAACCTTAGGAAACACTAATGAGACATGAGTTTCATCAATTTCCTCATCAAAGCAAAGACCCTCTTCCTCAGTCTGAAGCAGCCTGTCATCCAAGTAGCTCCCTGGATAAATGTCACATGGTGCACCAATCGGTAAGCCACCTGTTAACAGAACTTTGCTGGAGTCAACTCATCATCCAGGGCAAGTTCAAACATCCACCTGCCTGTTTTGGACACCTGCTCAATTGTCTTGTGCAGTATAGCAACATGGTAACTTTTCTATTTTGCTGGTGAGGCAGTGGGAACAGATGAATAAACAGAAGAGAATAAACAGAATTAAATCTATATGACTTCAATAATTATGCCTCCAAGTTATTATCTACCTCTTCCTGCTCATATCTTTGTATTGCTTATCTAATCTGTCTTTACAAGGTACATTCCAGTAGACCGCTATCCACCACCATCATTTAGACCTCATTAATTTAGCATTGCCTCAAGAAATGCAGATGATAATATCTTCTGGTCATTGTTCATGGAGTCATACTTTCATTACTTTACTGGAAAAAAAACCCAGAGTTGCATCTTTGTGTAAAAGTTCAAACCAAAGGGCCATTTCCAGACACAGCACTAGAGATAACAACACTATTCTACGTTTTACTGAAGAAAATTGAGCCTGGTTCCCCAGTGCCTCACACATTGTATAGTTATGTACATCTGTGTGCAAAGAGAATATAAAACTTCACCAGATCAGCATGGTAGCACTTTGTTCAGGTGGCTACAAAGTATACAATGTTGAACATTATGCCCATTAAATTC